ATTGCTAGTTTATTGGCCATGAGAACCATTACCATTGCCCACCGACACATCTGATCACCATCCGCTGAACCAGCAGCGTCTTTATTAATATCGTTATGATGATATACCAGGCACTGAAAGAGAGAATGTATTTCCCCCATTAACATGAGAAACGAGAATTGTATTCGGCACATAATTAGGTGAGTGTGTTCAAAATGAATATGCAACCGGGGCAGAAAAAATGGGGAGGATCTCGTTCTCCAGTTGCAGCCAAGTGGAGAGGCCACAACCACCAGATTTTTAATAAATTTGAGGGAAAAGCCGAGAGTTGGACGGCAGGGAAAATCGAAATGAGGCAGAGTCAGAGATTTTGTGTGTAGGTAACGTGGCTTTTGATCTTTGCTGCGTTTGTTTGTATACAATTTGATGGCTCGTGTTGATGGATCGTAAACGTGGAATGATGTTCGCGCTGTTGCTGCTCCTACCGAGCACCGCTGCCCGATGATGACGATCATCAACGCAACGATGACGGCACAGTGTGTCTTTGATCATTTGCCGCGCCAGTTGGCAGTCAAAATGTTAATTTATATGTTCTGCTCCCGCCTACAATCGAAAAAGGCAGGCAGTTTCTGCCGTACAGCGGCACTAACAACTTTACAAACATGTTTGAGATTTTTATTACTGTGTGAAAATGTTCGATTCTTCCGTAAAATCCGGCTAAGAAGGATCAAACAAATTTATGGGTGGGCGCAGCCAGATCTGGCAGGCCAGATCAGTCAGTGGTGCGGGAAAACGAAAACTTTTCATTGTGATTGATAGATGCCTTTGCCTACCACAAAAACAGCAGCGGTAGCAGTGGCAGCCAACAGCATTCCCAGAGGGATTTTGATTATAGACAAGTTGTCGGTGGATTTTTATTATACCCTTGCAGAGGGTATTATAATTTTGGTCAAAAGTGTGCAACGCAGTGAAGGAGACATCTCCGACCCTATAAAGTATATATATTCTTGATCAGGATCACCTCCTGAGTTGATATAGCCATGTCCGTCTGTCCGTCTGTCCGTCTGTCCGTCTGTCCGTCTGTCTGTTTCTACGCAAACTAGTCTCTCAGTTTTAAAGCTATCGGATTGAAACTTTGCACACACCCTTCTTTCCTTTGCACGCAGTATATAAGTCGGAACGGCCGGGATCGGCCGACTATATCCTATAGCTGCCATATAACTGATTGATCGGAAATGCCATAACTTTCGTGTTTGTAAAGTTAGGAAGTTGGGATTTTCTATGGGTTTTATATTTGGCCAATCAATCCGACCTACCAAATTTCATAAGGATCGGCCGACTATATCCTATAGCTGCCATATAACTGATTGATCGGAAATGCCATAACTTTGGTGTTTGTAAAGTTAGAAAATTGGGATTTTCTATGGATTTTATTTTTGGCCAATCAATCCGACCTACCAAATTTCATAAGGATCGGCCGACTATATCATATAGCTGCCATATAACTGATTGATCGGAAATGCCATAACTTTGGTGTTTGTAAAGTTAGGAAGTTGGGATTTTCTATGGATTTTATTTTTGGCCAATCAATCCGACCTACCAAATTTCATAAGGATCGGCCGACTATATCCTATAGCTGCCATATAACTGAACGATTGGAAATGCCATAACTTTGTTGTTGTTAAAGTTAGGAAGTTCGGATTTTTTATGAGTATTAAGAATGCATCATATGAATAATTTTGGAGAATATAATTTACAGAGTATTCTGCAAGGGTATATCAACTTCGGCTCCGCCCGAAGTTAGCTTTCCTTTCTTGTTATTGTGGAAATCGATCAAGCCACTTGACGGCTGATCAAAGACAGCACACAGCGAACATTTCTCGATATCTCTCTCTTGTATTTTAATGCGCGTATTTTTTATACGATTTAATTATTGTGAGTTTCGTTTTCTTTGTTTGCGATATAAAAATGTGTTTCGCTTTTGTATGCTAAGTTATGGAAATTTGATTTTAACAAGAGTGAATGAGGTTCAATTGTAGCTTCAAGATATGAAATTTAAATGAATGAGTCAATCGATTTAAGTTTATGAAAAACTTGATGAAAAAAATAATAAGAGCACAAGCTTTGTTATAAGAAGTTGGCTTATAAAAATACGTTAAATTACCTTGTGATAAGTTTATCATTTTTAGAGAATTTAACCACAAACATTTATAACTATGCCACTTTAAAATCGGATTTCTGTAAGAAAAGTTATGGGCTCAGAAGTGCAGGTTTTTGGTCACTTTTCTGCAAAGCCATTTTCCGAAAATTTGGAAAGGGGTAACATCATTAAAATGACCAAAAATCGACCCAAAATCACAAACCAATCTGAAAATGCAGATTTTTAGAGAATAAAACCACAATCATTTTGAAGTATGCCACTTTAAAATCGGATTTCTGTAAGAAAAGTTATGGGCTCAGAAGTGCAGGTTTTTGGTCACCTTTCTGCAAAGCCATTTTCCGAAAATTTGGATAGGGATAACATCATTAAAATGACCACAAATCGACCCAAAAATTCATTCCTATCTGAAAATGCAGATTTTTAGGGAATAAAACCACAATCATTTTGAAGGATGCCACTTTAAAATCGGATTTGTAAATAAATTCCAAAACGCTAAATTTTAAATTCCTTATTCCCTTAAAAAATCCTTTATTAATAGAATTAACTCCATCAGCAAATCATATCTGGAACCTATCAATGTTCTCTTGTGCAACAGAGGGAATTATAAATTGAATTGAAGTTATTTCCGCCATAACTTGATTACTCGTTACTTGTTAGCAACAATGTGTAATAAAGCGAAACTTCCGCAGACCAACCGAGATAAATCCGCATCAGGACGAGGACAAAATAAGCTGAGACCGATGATGCGGAGGGGTGAGCCCGAGAACTGGTCCGATTGTCTGGCGGTTGTCTTGGTCACATATTCCCGGCAGAAAGAAACATTTGTCTCGCTTAATTTAAACAGATTTGCGAGATTATTGTCATGCCGACGTTGAGGCAGCGGTTTCAATTCGACCATGGACAACCCGCAGTGCCAGCTGACAGATGGAGACCACGGGTGGGGGGGGTTGAGTTAAGCGAATCGAGAATCTGCGAATCCCTCACTGGGAAGTGGAGAAAGTTTCTGGGCAAACCAGAGCAAACCAACGGCGGTGATGCAAGCGAGTGCAAGGCAAATCTCCTGACAGCCGCGAGCCGGCAACTTTTAATGTTTTCTTTGCCCAGGAGGCCCAGGCGGGATTTCCGAGTGGGATGTTTGGATTGCAGAACAAATTTGCAGAGAACGTTATGCAAGTGACAGGCGACAGATCGGGGGATCTGAAGAATGCTTCTGCTGCTGCTGACGCTGCTGTGGATGATGATTCCTGCACAAGCCATATTTAAAACGCTTTGAAGTTGCACCGCGGCAGCGAGAGGTGTCTGGGGCGCGATTTCAGCTCATGTCGGGCTTGACACGATCGGAGCATTCTCTGATCCCAGATGAAGCCTCCCAGATCAAGCCCGCCAATCTGACGGCCTGACTGATGCAGATCCAGATCCAGATGTAGATGCTGATGCTGCCTGCCCACTTTTAATTGTTAATGAAGGGTAGCGGAGGGGAGAACTTAGTTCGTACACTCGGAAAAAAACTCATGGGATAAAATGGGTACTACATTTTTAACACTGGCTTAAGCATGTTGTCTTGCCTCTTTGATTAATTTAGTGTCGCTCAGCTTTCGAAACCCACTCAACAAATAAAATAAAAAGGAAGAAAGCTAACTATTGCGAAAGGTACAAGTGTCTAACCTTTAAACTTAGCTCACAGACGGTTATGGCTATATCAACCAGTCACTTTATAGGGTCGGAAACGGAAATGAAAATACGTTATACTTTCTTTTTATGAGTTACGGATTTTTATGTAAAATTCCAAAAGTGGTCTATAAATAGAACTTGCAAATAATACATTTTTAATTACGGCCTCAAAAAAAAACTCGAGATACGGTTTTTTGGTCAAAGCTCTGGGAAATAGTGTTTAAATGTTGTATTCGAACTCTTTATAAAATTTCCAATCAATTGCCATTCACCTCTCAAAATTTTCATTTTGGCCCAATTTTTGTAAAAAATCTGATGGGACCCCTTATAAAAATTCGAAAATCTGTCAAAAAATAAATGTTTCTAAATCAACCTGAAATCAATAGTTTAGGTCCTCAACAACACAAAGCTCACATTCAAATTTGGTTGAAGTGAAGACTTTTCCTTGACATATTACATAATTTTTTTAAGTGCACCACTCACTTGACAGCCCGAGCGGCTAACTGCCTTGGACAGCTACTCGTTTCCGGAAGTTTATCTCCGTTGCAGCGCTACAGCAGCAGCTGCTTGAAAGTCATTAGACTCCGTCAGCCTTGTCACTCAGGCAGCGTTTTGCTACGGCTTCAAGCTGAGACTTTGAGGCTCCCTAACGGAGACAGACATTTGATCTGGCCTGTCAGCCGGAGTCATGTCAAACTGTGTTTGGACAGCATGTTGGTATTGTCGGCTAGAGTGGATATAATTCCATTCGAAATGGGACAGGCCTTAACCCTTTGGGAGCAGATCTTGCGACGGATCATGACTTAATGATTAAATTAACTAATTGGGGAAAGCAATCCTTTCCTGGTTTTCAAATTGCACCAGCTCTTAGTAAGAGCTCATTCACAATCATAGAGAATGGTGGTTAACTGGAGTCACAGGACTTTTATGCAAAATATATATTATGGGTGTTAATGAAATTTCTTAAAGGTTGAATTGTTCAAGAATGTCTTTTTATTTTAGTCTTTAATTAATAACAGTACAACTCATTATACTTGTTGATTCCTGATACTTGATTTACAATATGTGGGCCTCCAGAGTTCAACCCACCAAATGGTATTTCAATTGAAGTTCAAATCAAAGCATCTAGAAATCCGATAGGTAACCGAAAGTTTCTGACATATTCAGTTGTCAAAAATTGTTTAACAAACCTATTTAAATATCTACATACAATTAGAACCAAAGTTGAAATCGCAAAATGCTTCGAGCTTGTCGATCATTGATCCCCCAATGTGGACACCAACTGAGGCTACATTCTATATCTTCCCTGTACAATACCGAAATTAATTTAAAATCCGAAGATGTCGAAGAAATACCAGCTAATAGACAAAGGGTTGTGATACCAAGACAAGAAGAAAAACTAAGCAAACGCTATCTGGAGTTCCGGGAAAAGTTGCGATCGGAGGCGCCGCTGGAACCTCTGCCCGAGTGTGCACCACATCCGGCCCACGAAAAGGAGCCTCTGGAGCCCTGGCCCAACAACACCAATCCGCATACGGGGGAAATCGGGGGACAGGCGGGTCCAGAACCCACGCGCTATGGCGACTGGGAGAGAAAGGGACGGGTCACGGACTTCTAGAGGAATCAAATCTTCACCTCGACACCTTTGTTTGGACAATTCTGATTTATTAACCGTGTTAACAACAGAAGCACTCACAATTTGTTACACTCCCGAGGAAAACTGTGTGTGCCACAGTAGCCCGGGAATCCAGATCAAGATGAGGGAAATCTAGATTCACCGAGCTGCTTCTGCGAAGACATTACATAAATTTCATTGTGTGATTTCTTTGTGGTTTCTTTCGAGAGGATTTGTGGATGGCCTGCCATCAAAAATAAATTGATAGCCCTTTCTTTCGCCCATCGAAAAAGGGGTTCTCAGAATAGAGAGAGCTGCGACCGAATCTTCTACTTCCATTATTTATGGTTCAGGGGCAGAGAATCGTGCCTAAGTTGAAATTATTTGGAGTGGTGTTGGGGCCTTCAGTCGAATCGTTTCGATTCATTTGAAATTAAGGCGACAGTTTACGTGATTTTTATTAGAAAAACTTCTGTTCGTCTTGGGTAGCTGCTTCTAATTTTGTAGCCTGAGTGCGTTTGACGAAGACACATAAAGGGGTTTTTAAATGCCATAAATTTCTCTGTTAAGGCCCTGAAGAACGTTTTTGTGGTTTAGGAAATTTGTTGGAAATTTTTAAAAAAGATTTGCAGCTGTTTTGGTTCGCCTTGTTGTCTGTTGACATTTTTGTGGGCTTTGCACTGGATTTGTTAATGAACACAAATAGAAATTACTGAAATGCCTGTAAATCGTGTAGCTAATTGATAACAGGGAGATTTTATAGATTTTGTTTCACTAATGGATTATTGAACATTTTTAAAATACAAAATTTATCACAGTTCCTTAACATGAGTAAGTTGTTAAGGAATTTTCAACAACAATCCGTCAGTCACATCACAAATTCTTGTACATCATCTATTTACACCTTTAATCAAATGCCGACGTCGGCAAAACGCCAAATCAAAGATCAATCACAATCCAACAAATTAACCACGTAAAATGCTCGAAAGAAAGATAAATTCCGCATAAATTCCAGGAAATCCACAGAACGCTTTTATGTATATAAACGAAATTACACAGCAGCTGACTCTGGTAATCCACGAAAAATTCCCAAATCGACAACTTGCCCAACGTTCAACGGGTGCGAGAAGCGATGACTTCCTCCATAGTCATCCATCAAATGCGATTTTCCGAGTTAGTGGGCGAAGGGGTGGGGGGTGAGGACCCTGCAATGGCAATTATTTCGTCTATTTTATTTTTAAACGAAATTAACGTGTTGCTTGCTGTTGTTAATGTGTTTTTATTACGTGAAAAGTAAGGAAAACACACGCATACCGATGTTCTCAAGATCATTTTATAACCCAAACGGAACGGAACGGAACCGATCCGTAAACGTAAACGTAAACCCATCTCCATTTCTCAGCTCCTCTCCTGTTGCGCCGCTGGGTCGCAAAGTAGTAGGCGCTGATTGATAGAACAAAGTGAAAATCAAATAAAAAACAAAACATAAAATCCCCCAACTGAACCACATTGCGGCGCAAGATCAAAGACCGCCCCTCGATCTGTAATGACAGCTTTGATCATTGTTTTGCCTTTGATTTTTTCCGGTTACGTTTCTCTCTCACATGGGCTCTTCTCAATCTTTTTTCGGCTGCGAGTTGGTCCAATGCATACGATCATCAGTCTTGTCGGCCCGAGATCTCTCGATCATATCGAAAGTACTTGGAATTGTGGGAACGGGTGGCCAAGAGCCTGTTTACGATCAGTTTCGCACCCACTTGAGAGATTTCGCTTTTGCCGAATTAATTTACAGCTGGCGAAAACTCGCCACCGACGGCGGAATGAAGGCTCTTGCCGGAATTTGGTAATTTACACGTCTCAAACTAGCATTTCAAATAAAAATTAGTCGAAAACAAGAAAACATAACTTTTTAACTGCTCGTTCAAATAACGTCATCTCTGGAAAAAAATGTTTTGGCTAACTCTTTAACGGCTTGAGTCTTAGGACTTAGTTTAATTTCTAGAAAATGTACTTTAATTTTTTTTAATACTGGGATAAGTCTTTACAGAGATTCTTTAATTTTCAAACTGTTCCGAACCTTAACATTTTATTTCCGATAAAACCTGATTCAGTAAACAAGTGTTTATTAGTCAAACAAGTTTGATTTGTAAGTAGAGCTGCAATAATATTTCATAATGTCAACTTTGAATCGAAATTTGTATTGAAAGTAATTAATGATAACAAAATCCATATCACAATCGTTTTGTTTTTTCCCGGAATTCAATTAGTGATTTATGTTTTTTCTTTAATTATTGTGTAATCACTTAACTGCAAACAAACGCAAAGTTTTGTAAAACAATTTAAAATAACAGTAAGTGAAATAAGTCAAAAATGAGTCAGCAATTACAATTTAAGCATAAAATTTATTTTTAGACTTACAAATTTTTGTGAACTCGGAAATAAACTTACTCCTAAAATAAACCACTCTTTATTAACTGGTTATCTTAATTAATTTGAAGGATTTCTTTTTGATTTTTTTATGTAATAAAATGGTCTTTATATTTCGTAACAAAACGAACAAAAGGAAGATTGGCCAACTATATTTAACCTGCACTCAAATCAGTGCCCAGTTTACGTAAGGAAAATTGAAGAAAAATTACGGATGCCAATGGAAGCAGCGGGAGATGGTGGAAAGCCGGCAAAATATATGACCAACTATTATGTTATTGTGTGAACGTGCACTGATTCCACCAGCCGGGCTTTTGTTCACGAGCAATATTTTGCTTGGGCGCCCAGAAACACGGGGTTTTCCCAGCCACCCAATCCATCGACCTTCCGCCCACCGTTTGCCTGCGGAGAGGGCGTCTTATCGGAGCGTATAACATATATCATTGACACTTTGACATTGCCGGTTTGGCGGGGGGCCGGGCTGCAGAGGTGGGTAGGTCCAGGGCCATGACCAAAAGGATTTTAGTACTTTTCAAAATGGCACTTAATCATGGCAGCCGCCTGGCGCAGGAAAATGCGGAAACTGGCAACAACAAGGACACACACCAAGACGTAATCGCATGTGTTCACGCTTGAAAGGATAACGACGACATGGCTGGGAATCGGTATTGGAAGTCAGCGGGAGCGGAGTTCCCAATCCCAGTCCCAATCCCTATCCCATATCGACCAGAGCGAAACAAGATTAATGACTTGGCAAAAGGAACTCTCGGTGCGAAAGTGTGTATGTGTGCTGTGTGCTGGGCGGGCTGCTCCTTTCTGGCATTCGATAAATTGTTTGCTACTTGGACTGTCATTAGTCGAAAAGTTTGTTTGTTATTGTGTTAAGTGTTATTTGTGTGCTCACGTCCAAGTGTCAGGCTCTTTGGCATTCCTCTTCCTCATCCTTATCCTCAGTCCCATTTTCACTTTTCCTCTCCATCGTTTATCACTTTCGTTCTCGTCCCGCTGAAGGATAATATTCGCCTGTCATAGATGACTCACACCTTCCATATCGCTAAGCCAGTGATGACCGCAAAAAAGCCGTGGAAAAAAAATTAGTGAAGCTGAGAGAAATAAAGAACGTTGGCAGTTCCTTAATGATCTCTAGGTGACTTTTGGAATTGTGGCGAGATTTATTGTTCCTAGAGGAAGCGATATGGAGGATTGCATTAGCCTTAGATGAAGCTTAGATTTTTGAAATAAAGCAAAGAACGGATGAAAAGAAATTTATTTCATGATTAAAGTAGTACATTTTTATTTAAATTACTTTATTCTTAAGTTTTAAAGTTTCACTTATATAAACATAGAATCACTCATAATAATAGTTCCAATCGAAATCAATTTTATATTTTCTAAAACTTATTTTAGTACTGTCATTTATTGTCCTGCGACTTGCATTCTTTAATATAAACGATAAGCATACAGAACAATAAATTAGTATAACTAAATTTATACCAACTGCACTTTTTCTGTTAAAATCCTGCCCACGCTATCAACTGCCATAAATTCATTAGCGAAAAGAGCGCAGAGTTTAAGGAGCAAACATAAACAGGAAGCAAAACGCGATGGCCGCAATATACAACAATTTACAACCTAAATCAAATGCAGTTGAATGACCAACACAGACGCCATAAATCACTTGGCCACTGGGTTCCAGTTGAGACGCCAGACGATGGCTCGAGTTTCCAGCCAATATTTTAGAGAGGAAACCCACCCAAATGGCCGGGAAAACAAGGGGGAAGGACTCGAAATCCGATACCAAACGGAACAGGGAAAGGAAAAAGATTTCGTGAAAAGGGCAAATGCAATATGTTATCAAATAAAAATGTTACAAGCGTCGACAGTGGAGGGCGAACAACAAGCCCCGAAAGGAAAGAAATGTGTTGCACAAATTTATTAGAAACCTTAACTAACGAGCAATATCCTTAGTGGATTGGGGTGCTGCTGCTGCTGCTGCTGCTGATGTAACTGGATGGAATGAAATCCAAGTGATGTGTCAAATGTTAAGACATTACAAAGCACTAAAAGGCACAAGGACATGGCCCAGTGGAGGGGGTGGAGGTGGGTCGGCGAGCAACAGGAAAACAAATCGAACGTGTGCCCAATGCCATCAATCTTTTGTTTTTATTGCCAGCCCAAGGTCCCTGTCAAGCGATTCTCGTGAATCCAGCCAGGACTCGAAGGGTGCAGGACATGTGTGCGACAGTCAGGCAGTCGGGACTTGTGTGCCCGACATTAACTCGACAGGATAACAAATCTGTTAAATGTGACAAACGAGCTGAGTGTGTGCTGGTGTGCGTTGTGCTGTGTGTGAGCCGTCTCGAAGGAAAGGCGAAAGGCCAACCCAGAGTCAAGTTATGTGGGCGGCAAGGAGCAGCCTTACACTCCTCATCCATGTCCCGTGGTGTTTCCATTGACCTTTTCCCGCTGCGCATCCCCTGATCCGACCTGATCTCATCTCTTCTTTCTTCGGTTGTGAGGGCGAGGTGACCCGGCAAGAACTGTCACTGCCTAACGATGATTTCATGGTGGTCAAAATGCAATAAATTTTTATTGGCACCTATTATTGAGCGACATATAGAAGAAGTTCGCCGAGTACAATCCAACCAAAAACAGCGGGCAATTTATGAGCAAGGCTATTGGCCTGCTGCAATTCCCTTCCTTTCAGCTCGCTCATTGTCCATGCATGTCACGCAGGTCCTTTTCGAGGTCCTTGGATTGACCTGACAAAGACATCCCGCAGCGCTTGAGCTCGCACTCATGACAGTTTTATTAACCTGTTTACGAACTTTGGCGACCCTGACTTCGATTTTATGAAGGACCTAACGGTCTAATAAAGACAAGGAGATAATGGTTTTC